GATGCCCCCTATCAACGTGCGACCCCGATAAATTTGGTTTCAGCCTTCACGAGCCCCTGAGTACCATGTACAGTCTCGTGAAAGTCTTTGCAAGGAAATGGTCTCGCTAACTGCAGAAGCTAGGAAGCTGAAATTTTAGCGTGGCATACCCTGCTCACGTGCAGCTCCGCAAATTTTCAACGCAACCGTGGAAGTTCTGACGGAAAAAACATTATCTCGGAAGCCAAAAGAGTTAGGAGGCTCAAAATTCCTGGAGAATGTTTCCTGCCTAAAAAGGGGCTTCAAAATCTCGAATTCATTTCCTGGGCATGCCGGTATCTCACGCACGACCACCTGAAAGTTTCGTCTCAAAGATCATTCGAAAGCCACAAAATTAGGAGATTTAAATTTTGGAACGATATTCACCCCTCGAGGCTTCATATTCAGCTTTCACGTCCCGATGCGCGAAATTTTTAACTATTTTTCAGCGTTTCAACTACTTCTGCCTAGACTAAAGCACAAAGCAGTGCAAATCATTAATGGGCAATCGTTCGGTGGACGGAATTGCACAAAACGCATGATCGCACCGTCTACTCTGATGCGTCCTGCTATTTATTATTTTAAAAGGGGGCCAAAACACTTCGCGATTTCTCTATAATTTAAAACCAGTGTCCTCAGTTTTCAGTGTACCAAACATCTGCTATACATAATCTCCATGAATCCGTTCTGAGCAACCATAAATTTTCACGGCGGACAGATACCAAAAAGAAACTGACTAGTCTAAAGTGCTTTCTGCCTCATTTGAAAAGCCATCTTATTCATTTCTTACTATTTTTCTTTTTGCTTACAAAACTGAAAGAAATGTTGGATTCTTGCTACGAATATGACAGGAATTGAAATCTGTGATCGGGATTACTTTCTCACCTTTCAGGAAATCGAAAAAAGCAGCTTGTTCGCAGATAAATTTCAGAGGAACAAAAACGATAGCTGAGCGGATGCAGGATAGAATGCTGAATGCTCTTGGCAAAACTGCATTAGGCAGATGACTGCATTTCAACAACATCCAAATTTCACATAAACGATCAGACGATCTCAGTCACATGCAACCCGGCTAGTTCGGCACATGGAATTATGTATGTTAATTTAAGTTGACCAAATGATCCCCGTTTCGCCAGGAAAGGTTAAATGGCGCCAAAATAGGCCCGGAATTCGCCGAAAAAATTCCCTTGTTCCACTTAACACGCACACTCAAGCGATTCCTTAAAAATCAGTACACGCCTGCAATTATAAACTGTTAATTTTTGCACTGATTAGCGGGAACCTAGGTGGCCAATTATGTACAATGATTTAAAATGAAATTCGTACCAAAGACCGAAATCCTCGAAAGCCTTCATAACTATTCT